TTTCATAAAATTAGTAAAACAAGGCCACAAAATATTTTTAAACTCAAACTACTCGTTTAATGCTGAAATTTTGTACGATGAATAGGTACAAAAATATTTTTCAACTTTCTTGTTTAAGAAACAAATGAATTCATCAAATTAGTTACAGCTGCACGAATATATATATATATATATATATATTTAACATTCGCCGCTACCAAAGTTTTTTTTGTTTTTAAAATAATATTGTGCATATTATAAACATATATATTAAAAAAAAAAAATAAATGTAAGAATACTTTTGAGTAGCATTCCTAACGAATTCAAAAACAATGCACATCCGGCAAAAATTATTCAACACGTAATTGTATTCTACCTCTGTCAGTTGCATATATATATAATATATAAGCGTACATCTGTGCCCAGGTCAGACTGCTGCTGCTGCTTCTGGCGCTATGTAAAATTTAGGATATACCTACTTCAGAACTCTTTACTTATAATTTCGTTTTTGTTGTTTCGTTTTTATTTTGTTATTATATTTTTTTTATCGTTGAGAGCAGACGTCTGCTAATCTGGGCCAACTAGTATTTCTGTTATGCGATAAACACGAAAAACAAACAAACCCGTCAAAGTATTAGTTAATTAAGGCGTTCTTTGAAGGCTCACCGCCTGTAGGGAAAACGAAGGAATGTAAATTGTGGCGAACAGCTCAAACTAAAGTCAGCGGCGGAGTATGAAGTTCTCAAAAAGAGGGGTTAAAAATGCGGTTTCGCCCCGTGTACCGAGATAGAAAACCGGGTGTGCTTTTGTGCAGATGATTGTGTGTGCACAGTGTATATAATTTCGTACGTCCAAGAATTTATTATGGAGCCCGACCGCCCGGGAAATATTCTAAAACAAAGCGAAAAAAAAATGGGCAACGGAAAAAATATGTATAATGATAGCCGACGGTTGTTCAACAAAAAATAATAATAATAAAAAACCACACGATTTCTATATTAAGGACCACTAGAGAAGAATAATGTTCGGACATTGAATAATAAAAAAAAAACCTAGGACCGTATACACACAGTTTATAATATAACAGCGCGAAAAACAGCGGGAAAAGGAAATTACTCGTAACCCCGGTTACACGCGAGCAGTATGCTCATTTCAAAACGGGCAATTTCTGGTTTATGTGGTGAAAAGTTTTTTTTTGAGTAGTTTAATGGCAATGAGGAGAAATAACTATTTTCCTTGAGTCATTAGTCTTTACTATTCATCGGGTAACTACTTATCCCCCCTTCCCCTCCCTTCCGGTGAATATAATTACCTAGAAAAATACAAAATAAGGTAATCCGAGGATTTAAGGACGGCCTTCCTGCTTTAATTTTTTTATCAACCTCTGATATAAGTAGAGCAAAAAATTAATACCAAGAAAAAAAACACATGGCAAATCTTTAAGCTAAAACGATTTCAGACATAACAGCTCATAAATCATGTTTTGAATTAGCGTTTAAAATGTAATAGGAAAAGAATAACTTCAAACAATATCATCACGAGCTTCACGAGTACATAAAATAGCATAAACATTGTGATTCTTAAACCGCCAAGTTGATTATTATTAAATTGAAATTTTTTTTCCAAGCACACAAACAGAGTTTAAATTATGTTTTGCTCTCGTTAAATTCTATGTAAGCCCTTTTAAAAACAACCTTTTAGTTAGTCATAAAAGTAAACAATAATAATAATTGGTTCCCGAATATTTTTTTTAAATTTCATCCGTCACAGAGTGATTCTAAATTAGTTTAATGCTGTCTTTTCGCGCAGCAACAATACAACAAAACACCCATGTATGACACTTATTAAAAAACACAAATAAAACGTCCACGTCTAAATTCATTCAGAATTCCAACATTTGTTTAAAATAAAAATAAAAATACACAAAGTGACGTTTTTAGTAGCTTATTATTTTTGTATTTGCATCGTGTCGTTATTATGAGAACAATAAATTATCACGATAAAACTTGAAAGTCATTTTTTCAACAGTTCGATGATGATAAAACGGTGCATATTTCACAGTACGTTTATCATCAATAACAATGATCACGGCCGTCAGAATTAACGATGCAGGCCAAATGCTACATAAACAAAATGATTAAGTAGACGAGAGTATAATGTTGTAATGATAGTAAACGAATTCCCGTAACGAAATTCGATGGCGTGCAAAACTAAAAGCCCGACTTGAAGAAATTAAAAAACCATAACATTTACGTAGATTGTAGATACGCGTCATGAATACGAAATAGTTTCCATTGACGATTCGTTTGATGTCAATTTGAAATTGATATTATTATTTCATTTTTTTAACCCGTCGAACGTCAACGCAAAGTTTGCATACAATTATTTGTCGCCCGGCTTTTTATACGTTTTTGTAAAGCGCTAATGTACGTACTCGATTTAAACCTAATCCTTTTGAAATCGCAACGGTTATTATATTATTATACTTCGATAGGTAGGTACTAAAAAAATAAAATAAAAACTAATGAATTTAAAATTGAATGAAAAAGTCAATACATTTAATTTATTCTAAACAAACTTTCCGAATAATTGGTATAACGATTTAAAATTCAGAATTAGTATGGAGGACTGAAACGGGGTGTATACACAATTAAATTATTTATACGTTTATGTTTTCACATTTGCGAAATCGTATTATAGTAAATCATACAGTTTTATATACATTGTACTGCAGTTTTACGACCGACTTTTAATTTTTAATAATTGCAATATTCTTCGAGCAATGATATTTTTAAATACATTTTTGTTTTGTGCTCACCGGCGAAACAGTAACTACTAACTGCCTTATTATATTGTATTACATGTTCGCATTACTACATGCGTACACATAAAAACCACTCCAACACAATATTTACATAAAAATTCATTTCCTCGATACGTATCGTAGAAACGAATAGAATTCAATGGAAATAAAATGTAGCTGCGTGTGTATAATATAATGTGTGTGTGCTGTATGTCTGTATATAATACACGTAAACACTGTTTTTTTTTTCGACCGCAATGAATTGTACGCCATTTTTCGTTTGCAACTTTACAACTAGTTATTCCCGGCCTTATCGATGTACGCGGGACCGACAGAGAAAAAAAAAAAAAATAAATTGATTCAAAAAATATGAATGGAAATGTTTCCATAATTTATTTTGGAGACTTCATAGCGGTACCCGTCGTCCTAAATCCATGTACAGTGTACACGCATTATACATCGCCGCTATACGTGTACGATATACGATATTTACACATATATTATATAAAATATGTATATATTACTATTATATATCGAGCACACGCTAATATGTCATAGAGGGTAGTTTATATTTTTCGCCTCAACCCCCGGGCATCGGTATATCGAGCGCCGCCGCCGTACGCACGGGATGCCTTACAATATAATATACAAAGTAAAAACGTGATCCTTTAAGGGTTGGATCATTAAACAAGTATAATATTCGTGCCAACTTGTTGAAAGTCGCTACGTACAGTATACACACACGGCGTATTATATATATAAGTATATATTTATGTATTTATGTATATACATATAGAAGACCGCGGCCAGACGTGTACGGTGTTTACAATCCCGAGTTAAAGCCAAGTAATCGTTATCAACATGATGGGTTTTCGGCGGTGGCGTTCGGACCGGAATCGATATATATATATATATTTATATATGTGTGTGTGTGTGTGGCCGTGCTAGAGGGGAGGTTGAAACCAGTCGATACGAATGGCTTCGGAAATTCGTTTTTCTGATGTTGTTTACACGGCGATTCTTCTCGTCTAAATAATGGATTCCTTACAATTAACTGTGTACATCGCACGGGGCGAGGGATAACGCGATTACAATAACTAACGACCGGTGGCGAGTGAAGAACAAGATCCGTCGTCACGCGGAGTTATTTCGCCGCCGCCGCCCGCACCGCTATGGAAATTAATCGACGGTAAAATATGCCATCGTCGTCAAACCGACGTTATTATTGTTGTTGTTTAACGTCCACCGGCTGAAAATCTATCGGCCGATGCGATCGAATGAAAATATAGAAATAAAAATACTAAAAACGAAACGATATTTTATCGGTTTGAAGGAGCGTTTGTGTGTTGTATACAGTATATATACATGTTATTGTTAAGTACTAATACATAAAAGTGGGACGGAAGAGAAAAAAAGGTGCTCTCTCCGTAATATAGTTGCCGGCTGAAATCCGATGCCGGAATATTTTTCGTTGTTTTTTGAGATGGGGTGGGAGATAGAGAGACGGAGAGACGGAGAGGGAGCGAGAGAGAGAGAGAGAGATGATTTCCGACGGGCGGACGCGTTTAACGCGCGACAGTAATACGACGACGGGAAATCGACCACGGCCGTCCGGCTCCGCAGGGTATGACTCAAAACACACTCGCTCGATCGGTTTTCGATAAATTATTATCATATTTTATACATATACGGCCACGCATAGGCGGTCTGCTGCAGGTGTGACGCATATCGTTGTGCGTCCACTTCGATTCGTTTCTTTTTTCCTCGGAAAAATTCGTCGTCCACCGAGGAGGACTCCTCCGCGACTCCGACGGCGACTCGGCCGGTCTTGAACCGTCGGCGTGCCGGTCGACAAACACGCGGAAGGTCTTTGGACAAATCAATAGCGGTGGCGAGGGGTGCGCAGGGCGAGTCCCCGCAGACGCAACGGCGAGCTACCCCCCCGCCGCGGCCGCGAGCCGGTGTGCGGCAACGGTGGTGGGCGGCTGGTGTTGGGTACGGGGTAGTCGAAGGGTCCAGGGGTTGGGGTCGGGGGTTGGTAGGTATATACTCGAGCCGTGCGCACCCCCGCCGCCGCCGATCACCACACGCCGCCCCGCCGCAAACGCCGCCGCCGCCGGGGCGCGCTTTGCTCGCGCGAAACCGGGAAAAACCGCCGCCGCCGCCGCTCCCGATTATATTGCGCCGACCACGCCGTGCGCGCCACCAGTGCCGGATCGCCAGCGGACGTGTGTATGTGCGCGCTCGCTCGCCCGCTTGCCGCCGCCGACGACGACGACGACGACGCCGCTGCCGCCGCCCGAGACGCGAACACCTTTGCCGAGTCGCGACACTATAATATATATGATATTGGTTGTACGCGCGCGACCGCCAACCACCTGCCCGTTTTATACATACGTTATAAATCATTATAATTACACACACACACACAGACATACACACACACATACACATACACACACACACGCGCGCGTATATCTGTCGCAACACATGTATACACGTGTATTGAATTAAAATATTTTTTAACAGTAGCTGCGGTACACATATTTTAGACCGCAGTCTTGTCGTTAAATTTCAGTCGGTTTTTATTTTATTTTATTTTTTTTTTTATGTGCGTTTTGATAAAAAATAATAACAACAATTTAATTGTTATCGTCGCAGTTGAACACCACGCCGTCGTACGTCATTTATATGCGCCGTAGATCACCGTCAACGTGATGTTCCACGCGTAAAAAACAAAACAGACAAACATTGGCCGTTGCGTGTGCCAGACAATACAATATTATTATAGTAAACGCGAGCGTCATCGTATCGCTACAATAATATTATCGCCGTGTGACGGTGCAGTAATTACCGCTGCACAATCGTTATGTAATGGTTCGGGGGGGACGACGACGACGACGATCGCAGCTAACACTAACCGCCGACTCTGGCAAATCAAAAAAGTTAATTAAACTTTTGGACTCTCGACGGCGACGTCGGCGGCGAAGACGACGACAATGCGGGTCTGCTCTTGAACGGTGACACGCCGCTGTTGAACGAGTATATCTGCCACATCCGAGTGGCGGACATCATCGGCCCGCTGTCTCTGGATACTAGGGTTCAAACTCCGTGACCGAGAGATACTCATTTCCGAAAAATATAAACAATATAATATTACAGACCAACAACGCCCCGCCGAAATCGATTTTACTGTCAATGCAAACCATTGTAAAAATAAAATACACACCTCTCTTGTTGCACAACATCGATTTTCGTCATGCATAATAGTGGTGAACAGCGCAAAACGCATGCCGAACTTCTGCTCCCCGTATTGTGTTTCGGTATTCTTTTTGTTTTCGCCCTATCGGCAAAAGCCTGACGTTCGTGCAGTACGACTACGTGCGTTTTTTACATCTCCGCTGCTTAAACGATAGCATCGGAGCCTCTCGTTCGGTACTCAATACGTTTCGCTGTACCGTCGACAGTCGATGAAATCAGATGCCAAAACGATGACACTTCGAGTCAAAGGTAAGTCGCTTTCAAAATATTGTTTGTACTCCTCGGACGTTCTTTACACGCTGCCGTTCGAAATTACAATATTTGGCCTAAAAGTGTTGTTGCTGTTGTTGCGTAAGCTAACATAATATTTATATATTTTTTTTATTTCTATCCTGATTTTAGTACGGTCTATTTACCGGTATAAAAATATAAATTCCCGTTATTAGAGTTAAATCGACCGTCTTACTGGATTTACCATTGGCCAATATATCCGGTGGTTATGGCCGTGTAAAATACGTTGGTGTAAGAGTGAGGGGAGAGAAGGAGAGAGTGAAAAAACCTAAGTTTGGTGAATCGAGATAGCTTATGACAGTAATTTATCATTATCGTCTCCCGAAATGCCGCCGTGCTCGATTATTTATGAAACCAAGTCATTTTGTGGTGACTGGGAAGTGCGTAGGGTCTTGGATGTTCTTAATTCACGCCTAAATATTTATTCTGCGGAAGCTTTTCTAAAAGATTAACTTTTAAAAAGCTACATTTTTAGCGTAACCGGCGTCGGGTGTAAGTCACATAAAAAAAAGTTACGACACTTAAATAGATATAAAAACCACACGTTCTAAGTCAGTAACATGACCATGTTTATCTGTCATGAATTTATTTTTACACGCGTAAAGAACGTCCGGACTGTAACGTGTACCTATTATATTTACTAATTCGTTTTCGTTTTCATTATTTCAGCAATAAAAATAGTTATCAAAATATTTACGGCGTTAGCCAACCAACAAACAGAAAACTGTTCCCGACTGACCAATATTATGCACCGACTTTAGCTATATCACCAACATGGAACCAGAACAAAATCGGAACAGTGGTGGCAGACCAACCACTACTGACACCGCCATCACCACCACTACCGCCACCACTACAACCACAAACGCAACCGCCACCGTCTACGGCGACCAACAGGCTGTAGAGGCTGCGCTTAATGAGTTCATCGATAAAATGACACCTCGTGTTAACGTGCTGGAGAATGAAGTGATGTACGCATGGCGAGCATTGGACTTATTGTCAGACGAGTACGTAAAAATGTGGGAGCGCATTGAAAAACTCGAAACCATTATTCAGAATCAACAGTCTGTCATCGGGCAAATAGTTGAGATATGTGCAGAGCCGATTACATCTCCGTCAACATACATGGGACCACCGGAAGTCGGTGACCGTCCCGCACTGAGTATGATATGGGAGGAATCGGAAGGCAGCAGTAGTAATGGTACTAAAAAGCCGTCGGAACAGAGGGAAGTGGATTATAGAGCGTACGAAGATCGGTTATTAAATGAAGACCAGGAAAAAATGGATTCCGTCGAGTCTGCCAAAGAGATTTTTGAAAATATAGAGCAAATGGAGAGAAACATGCGACAACTCTACGCTGAAGCCCAGTTGGATAGTTGGAACGACGAGACGGAAAGAGCGGCAGCTGCTCTAGATTTTTATCCAATTAACAAGCCACTCACGTCATCGGTGGGAAACATACAAAATCGTATGTATCCTTACACGTCTCCGTCCATTCGATCGCTACCCACGATCCCTAAATGCGAAGAACCCGGGTACAGGTCACCGACGTTATTTATGGATACAACGTCACAATCGACTTACATGGACGACTCTTATCGGCCACAATCACCACCCGGAAGTCCACCACCTCCAGCACCTGAGGATCCCGTATTTCCTAGATCGCTGTCATCCGCACTGTCACTGAGTCTGCGTCAATTTCACAATTCTACCAAAGAACTTGATTCGCTTCATCAGTTTCACAATTCCTCTAAGGACCTGGACACTATGCACCAATTTCATAACTCCTCCAAAGATTTGGACGCGTTACACCAACATCGAGCTGGTGCCATAGTCACGGCTAATAAATCCGATTCCGGTCTCTCGTCGATGAGTGGTGGATTGATGTCCAGCTATGAAAAATCTCCATGTTCACCAGGAAAACGAGTGTTTGATCAATCGTATCAGATCTCGGTGGCTGGTCCGTCCGGATTAACGGTAGTAACATGCGTAACCACTGCATTCGACACCGATTATCCGTACTATGATAGGTCGACAGGAGTGTATTCGACGGCAGGTCAAGGATATAAGTACCAGACAACTAACACACAACAGTCGTCTATATCTAACGTACCGGACCTGTTGGACGTAATGTCGTACAAAGAATACAAAAAACCCACTGAAAGACCATACCCTGGTATAACAGATGCGTTGACCTATTATCCAAGCACCATTAATGATACATATTATGGTAGAGAAAACGACAGGCTGGATAATAATCAACCTCGGTATAGATATGTGACGACGCCTAACTTTCAGATTCGATGTGAAGATGACGGTTCAAGGCGTGAAGAAAAAACGAAAAAATCTAAGCGTAATATAATCAAATCGGCCATGAACTCAGTCAGTAGTTCGGTGAGCAATTGGTTTCCCGATGTGCACTTGCCGCAACGACATCGATCTCATTCACTGCCAGGTGGCTTGGAAAGGGAACCCGATGCGGTTTCCGTACACAGTGAGACAGCTACCACATCAAAACAACGTAGTTGGAACACACAAAGGCACGGTAGTCGAAAGAAAAAAAAATCAATTGTGTCTACCATGTCTGGGCTGTTACATAAAACAGCTAAACCTGCCCCTTTTCAGAGCTCCTATTCAATAGCAGATCCGGAATTTGCGGAAAATGAATGGACTCAGTTAAAAGCTGGAGATAGGCCAACACCACCAGAACCACCACCCCTACAGCCACCAGAGCCAGCTAACATTACCGAAGAGCAGCAGGAAGAAGAGATACAAGAACAGATTAATGAAATTCAGTTACCAGCTGAAATGTTCAATGGCCCGACTAAAGAATTTGCTGTATCCAGAAAATTAAGTAAATACAGAGAACACTGTAAGCTTTCGAATGGAGGGCCAGAAGGTGAATCGTCAGTAATTCCAGTAGAAAAACGTAATAAATCACTGGAAGAACAGCCTGTTAAGCCTCACGAAGAGTTTGTGCAGCCAACAAATAATATAAGAAATTTCAAAATGTCATCTAGGCAAGCAAGTTTAGAGGTACCGTGGGCTGGGAAAGGATCCGCTGACACTGAAGATGATAGTAGGAGCAACCATTCATGGAGAAGTACATCTAGAATTTCGTCGAGACGGCAAAGCACTGAAGAAAGTATAGATAGTGACGATGAATGGTATTGTTATGAACTAAAACAATTAGAAGAACTAGAGAAAAAAACTCATTTTGAACGGGTATTTGGGCCACCTATGTTACCACCACCCAGTGCCCGAAGCGAATCGTCCATACTTATATCTAAAGTTGATTTTAAAGAAAAAATGTCTAAAGCCATTGAAGACATAAGAAGACAATCAGTAGACGAAGCTTTCAACGAAGACGCCTTCGAACAAGAACAATCCTTGGATACAGTCATTGAAGAGGAATTAATACAAGACGACGGACCTATAAGGTTCAAGTTAATGAAAGTACCGGATACTCCGGGTGGCATTAAAAGGGATCTTCCAGGTCAAGACCTAGACCTGGAACCGGAACAGGAACCGGAACCGGAAACGGAAATGGCCGACGAACAAATGGTCGTTGAAGAGGATGAAAGTCCCGGTACACCGTCATTGCCCAGGTTTAAATTTGATAAAAACGATTTAGTAGATAAAGAAGAGAGTGGCAGTAAATGGAAAATCGTGAAAGCTCTCAAGGAAAAAAAACCCGACGAGATAAACCAGGATATTGGACCTCCACCTACTCCGATTATCGAGGTAAATTTAAAATATGTTTATTTATTTATTGTGTACTCTGATTTAAAATTTAAAACGATTTTCAGTTTAGACTGACTAGTTATATATTTGCAAACAATGAAATATAGTCACAGTAGTACATAAATAATAAAAATATTGTGATATTTCCGAGATGTGCTTATTAGTTATTTGATTTTCATAAATATTCAAATTAAATCCTTATTTTGTAGTCATAATATATTAAATTATGTATTTTAAATAACATTGAATATGAACGTATAAGATGGTAATTTCGCTAATTATATAAAGTGAAATGTTTAATATAATAATAATAGGAACCCTTCCATTATAACTATAAGACATAAAAGATAAAATTGGTGCTTCTTGTCAAATAAATTAGTATAAAAATAAAAATAAATGTTTATAGTATACATATATATTTATATTTTAATAACTAAGTTCAAAGTAGACACAATTCTGCACTCGCTTATGCATAAAATTAATCAAATAAAGCTTAAACCTTTTATACTCATTAGGTATAAATTTATATTACTATTACAAATTCCATGGTAACTATGGAATTTTTCCCTTTAAAAATTCATCAATTTTTTTTATCAAAAGTTATTATCTGTCTGTGATTACTATAATAATTAAACTATAAAAAATAACTATTTTTTACTCACAAATTTACTGAAAAAGTCAAAAAAATTTTTTTACATTTATTTGAATAGTACATTTATATTAAGATGTTTGTTTATATTTTCAATTATTAAAAAAAATGCCATCAGGATTTAATACTATTAAAATTATGTCTCTAAACCTTTACAATATAACATAAATAACTTTAATATTATTATAAACTCCATTTGAAATATATTTTATAGCTAAGTTTTAATTTATTTAAAGTTAATACGTTATCTCTACAAAATTCGTTTTTTGAAAATGAAAAAACTCTGCTTATTATGAAACTTTTTATAAAGAATTAATGTATACATTATATGTTGAACCCGATAAACCGACAGTTTCTGTATATGATTTTATTACTGCTACAACACTTTCAACTATTTCGTATTTTTGAAATTATTATTTAAAATGTAATCATCATTTTTATAATTACGATCAGTATAGTTTTACGTAAATATTTCACAGTTAAATTGTTGATTTCAATTTAGTCGTAGGTGGTCATATAGTAAGCTAAGTCAATGGATGGGCTATATACTGTCGAAGATAACAAATACATTAAGAATATCAAACTCGTAGTATAGGTTGTAGATAATTCACCATTTTCACTGTGAACAACAACGGCCGTTGAACGCGTGTATAATATAATATAATATATAGTTCTTGAATACCCACCCAAAAAAAAAGTAAAATAAAATAAAATAAAACACCAGTGAATATAGAAAATAAGAACACGCCGAGCTGGTGCGTGTGCGACGAAATGCGTAATCCGGTATTCCAATATCGAATGCTTAAGGCCCGCCCCGCAGAGAGGATCGTAATATCATTGCCAAGTTTTTATCGCCGTTAATACCGTTGACCCGGTACGGCACCACCTGCTCAACCGAGGTTATTGTTATTATTGTTATTACGGATATAATCGGCCGTTAAATTAATAATAATAATATTATCGTTATGTGGATACCGACATGGATCAGCCAGAGGTCGGCATCGGTCGGGCGCCGTGGCCCCTGTCGTCGAATTAGCGCGGAGCGTTACCAACACGTGCGCGACGTGCCTCGATCAATCGAATTTCGGCCGTCGCCGGCGCGCAATAAATATTTACCCCGACGCAATTATAATAATTTAGACAATGTACATAAATCGAAACAAGAAACCGGGTCACGTACAATATGATGACGGCGTTATAATAATATTATATTATTAGTATTATTACTATTATGTGTGTTATACGCGTTGCGCCGCCGCGCCGCCGCCGGTGTCTGCGGAGGTGAGCCGCTGCAGCGTAAGACGCGTTCACTCCGGGTCACGGAGAATACCATTAATATTAATTGATTTCGGTAGAACATGTGGAAGGACGATGACGATGACGATGCATATTTATAATAATCTGCGACCGAATTTCGTGGGTGCATTTATATTTTTTATTATTATCGTTATTGTCGCCGTCGATATTTTTGAGATCGTTATAATAATTGTTTATTGTATTTTTTTTCGTTTTTTATTTTTTTTTTTTTTTTTCGTTTTTGCGCCACGCAATACGCTATGGGTAGGTACGACGCACACAAATTAATATTCAAAACGTAATTTAATTTTTGGCCGGCCGCATAACCACATTTAACATATTGTCTTTCGAAATTAGTTCATGCGCGTTTGTCGAAAACGTTTCGAGCTCCTTTCAACGGTTCCCCGTGGCAAAATCAACACACGGCGCAGTGTGGGTACGTAGGGTAACTCAATATAATATCATTATATATACTAATATAAAAGCAACGTCTAGGCAGTAGGTATGTGCGGGATTAAACGGATTACGTAGCTCAATCAGATTAACAATTACGGTCGTCGCGAATGGGGTGGGTAAAAAATTGCCGACGGGTGTGTCAAAATAATATATATTTAAACAACAATGCTCTGTATAACATGTACATTGTACACAGTCATTGTTGGCTTCGCGCCACTATGATCAAAATACCGTGTAGCACGGCGCAGTGTGTATGCAAAACTAATTCCGTTCGTGTCGAAATCAACGTACATTTGTGTGTGTGGTTTTTTTTTTTTAAACTTCTTTTTTCATCATTAATTATTTTACTCGCCGTTCTCCGCCCTCCGTTCCTCCCGCTCGAGCGTGTAAGTCATCGTGCACAACACATAATATAATATTAGTACATTAGACTACGCGATATTATCGTTTTAAATCCATTTCTGAATCGCCCGCGGTTTCGTCCGACTAAAATTATTATTATTAAACGGTTGGTCGATTGGAAAGCGTCAGTGGTTAACGCAATAATACGATAGTATAGTATGGTATTATACCACCCCAAAACCATTAGTATTGATTCGGTTCTCGTAAAATATTATAATATCTCGCACGACGTATTGTGCGCACCTCGTCTGCGAAATAGGTGAATGTAATTGATTTAGAACAATTTTGTATCCGAGTTGTTAAGCGTTTCAATTGAAAACTCCACAGGTGATATTTAATTACAAATACATTACGTGTGGTTACGAAATAGTAATAGTTACTGAAAATGTGTACGAATTTCCGACTGTAAGTACGGAGAGAGAGATATTGGTTTTATGATAAATTTGATACGTGTGCTTTTTAGGTCACTGGAAAAGTTCTAAAAGTTTTACACGATAAAACATTAGAAAATAAACACAGATTATACTTTTCACACGTCAATAATATGTCAATAATATTTACAATACAGTCAAATCAACAAAAAAAAAATTATTTTCCGTTTTCCCCAAATATTTCAGATTAATGTCGTAACAAGTTAGCTTAAATATTTTTTTTAAATCAAAGCTTTTTTTTTGTTCAGTTCAATTAGATTGGCCTTAAACTCTTGCTTTAAATGTTTTTTATTCATAAAATATGTCAATAGGATATAGAAAATAATTGTACTGGGTCGTGATCAAGTTTAACTTATCACCCACTAGTATAAATATTTATGCAATTCGGTTATAATAAATATTAAATGTGAATTGATTATGTTATAAATACCTACATTTATATCCATTTGTGTAGAACTACGTTAACTACCCAATTTGAAAGATAAGATATTATTAAAGCTATAATGGGATGACTCTTAAACGAGAAAATGTGATACACAGGATTTGGGTTGCTTGCTGGAGTGGGTGTCATTAAATTTGAAAGGAATGATATATATCATTGTATTTGGAAAACCTTTCTGAACGAAGCTCTAAACGGGTGCTTGATTACATTTCTTCACAGCTCTTTTCGCAGTTCTTCGCGATTTTCTGAAATTGACCCATCTAAAGTGTAATCAGTGTTTAATCAAAGCTGCTGTGTAAAACTTTTTTTTAGCTTTTTTACTGTCCAAAAAAATATCCACCAAAAAAATAAAAATTCCAATATCACTGGAACACCAATATGGGCTCACTTTTTTAGATGAATATTCATTTCATTTCCACTCGTTTGATGTTGAAATTATGAACATTATATTTATATAAATTAATAAGCTGAATTTCAAAATAAACTTTCGACTTTAAACGAATTCTGAAGTCAACCTTTATGACAAATTGTATCACAACTAATTAATGAAAAAAAAATTCAAAAACTAATGTATCAAACATTTTAGATTGCTTGATAACTTTCTCGGTTAATAAAAATCAGAAAACTTTAAGGTCCCATTCATAGTTGTAAATGAAAATATTAATGGTTTCAATATTTATTTACCTAAAATTAAACTTTGATAATAACATTTATTATTTTTCAAATAAACTGAATACTACTTTATTAGTTTGTATTTTAAAGTATTGTTTATATTCTATTATACTTGATCAATAAATCATTAATTTATAAATACAACTTAACTGTTTCCCACAATTTATCTTCAACAAATTACTATTATAAGACTTTGTTTTTTTTTGTATATTTATGGTGTTTGAATTTCATAAAATAATATTCTATTTTTAGAAAAACTGAATAAAACTGAATTTAATAACAACGTCAAGATGATATATATTATTTTTAATTTGATATTAGAATTAGTATTTTTTTTTTCATAAATAAAAATCTATAATCTATAATTTACCAACTTGTCAGTTGTCATAGATATAAAGCGGTCATTCTTTTATATTCGTTAAATTGAATTCGTATGTACCAAAAGTGGTAGAACTGTCAACACGAAAACGGGCGAATATAGTCCATATCATATATAGTTTCACCTTAAAGATTGACTACCACGTCCAGATGCTCTTAAATCAAAGTCTATAGACAGAATGATTGATGTGGAGATAATCTTGCGATTAACTTGACAATGATTATCATTATTGTATCATCGTTAGTCAAATATATAATAGGATAACGTTATAAC